AAAGAAATAGGCCTGAGGATCAGTGGAAGAGACTGGAAGACACAAAGACAAACCCAGATGTACTCAGCTACCTCATCTTTGACAAAGGAGCTGACCATCCTCAGTGGATGAATGATAGCCTCTTTAATAAACGGTGTTGGAAAAACTGGATGTCAACCTGCCACAGATTAAAATTAGACCCTTATCTTTCACCATGCACTAAATTAAAATCCAAATGGATTAAAGATCTAAGTAGTAAAACAAAACATTAAACCTTCTAGAAGGTAAGTTAGGCAGAACTCTGGAAGACATTGGCATAGGAAAAGACTTTATGAACAAATCCTCAGTAGCCTGGGAACTAGCAGATAGAATCAACAACTGGGATCTCATCTTACTGAAAAGCTTCTGTACTTCAAAAGAAACCATCAGCAGAACTAAGAGACAACTTACAATGTGGGAAAAATTTTTTACCAGCTGTTCCTCAGATAAAGGACTATTATCAAGAATATATAAAGAACTCAAAACAACCAGCCCCCCCAAATACAAAGACCTGATTCAATAATGGGCATCCGAAATGAACAGACATTTCTCAAACAAAGAAGTAAAAGCAGCAAGAAAATATTTGAAAAAATGTTCCACATCACTGGTCATTCAAGAGATGCAGATGAAAACAACACTGAGATTCCACCTCACCCCACAAAGAATGGCTGCTATCAAGAAGTCACACAATAACAAATGTTGACGGGGTTGTGGGGAGAAAGGAACCCTTCTCCATTGTTGGTGGGAGTGCAGACTGGTGCAACCACTATGGAAATCAATATGGAGATACCTCAAAGAGCTTGGACTGGAGATTCATCCCTCTGCTGGGTATCTTTCCAAAAGAACTAAAAGAATCATATCACAGAGAAGTATGCGCACCCATGTTTATAGCTGCACAGTTTGTAATAGCTAAATCTTGGAAACAGCCCATTTGCCCATCTGTTTGAAACTGGATAAAGAAGATGTGGTTTTTCTATAAAATGGAATATTACTCAGCCATAAAGAATGAGAAATATGCCTCACATTAAATTTTTGTTTTCAGTTATTGTAATCTCTAAAGTATGTCTAAAAAAGTTTCATCTATGTTTTCAAATCTTCACCACAATCCCAATTAATTATACATTCAAAAATAATAAGCATGTCACTTAATTCTGTGTTCATGTTCATATTCAGTTTTATAGAAGGGATCCTGCAGTTTCTTTTTTCATCCTTTTTGTTTAGAATACCTGAAAAGTTATTGTGGATATATCAGGCCCTTAAGGACAGGACAATATCAGATCACTTAGGCATAATTCAGTAAATTATTAGTGTAGAACTATTATAGAGTATTAAATAGCATCTAAGGAACCTGATAAATATTGTGTTCTCCTCTTAATGTTACTTGAGGGCTAAGTAAATAATTGAAATTAAATTTTTAAACATTCCACACAGTTTTAAAGAAACTTTAAATGTAGTTATACTGATAAGGAAGCTATCACACAACCTCAAAGAAATATAAATAATATATTATTATATAGTATTATATATAATATAATGTATATTATATATGTTATAATATATATATATATATATATACACACACACATAGTGTAAGTAAATTTACTGTTTTTTAAGATGTCCTTGCTTCTTATCAAATAAACATTACTATGGCTAAGAGCATGGTTAAACGTGAGACACATGACTTAGAAAATCTAGAACATATGAAGCTGCCTTAATGTCAGGCCAATCACTAATATATAAAAAGAATTTCTGTTGAATAAGTGAAAGAAAAGTATATAACTTTTTGAAATAAGTCAATAGTGCTCTAAAAAAACAACATTCAGGAGAGTACATTTAAATAGTGCAACTATATAGATAATGAAGATAATAAACTAAAAAATTGAAACACTGTACAAAATTCACACAAATACCACCTACAATATCTGCAAAACACCAAATAGGTTTTAAACATAAGTGTGAAATTTAAAAAGGCACTTCCTATTACAATGGAGATAGTATTTCTTGATGCATAGCAGCTACAATAATCATATTTTCTTTATATACATTTTTTAGTTGTGTCTTTTGATTTTTTTTTCCTCTAAGCCTTGCACCATAGCACCAATCAGAACACACTGCAGAAGTCTCTGGTAGAGAGTAGAGGAGGATAATAAGGGCAAGAAAAGCATTTATCATACCATTAAGAGATCATGACAGTGACATGAATTTATTGATGTTGAAATATGTACATTACACTCCATTAAGTAAAATATCAGGATGCAAAACACTGTATATAACATTGCTAACTTTTTATTGTTAAAATGTATTAAAATGTAGAAATAATTTCTACTCAGGGGCAAATTAAAATGCTACATTTTTTAATTAAAAGTGACTAAGGGTCGCATGTAACACCCACTATTGTCTTCAAGAAACATCCTCAAAAATACTTTTTCTTATATCTTTATATGCAATGAAAACCTACTGAGGATTTATTAAGTCTTTCCCTGATTATTGTGTTTGACTGTCTTTGTACATGTACAGCATATTTGAATTTTTCTATGAAATTGTCATTGATTTTATTTACTTGATTTCTGATTTTTTTGTGTCTGCATATGACTGCTTTGTGTTAATTATAAATTATTGCAGGAACACTTTTTGAGTAGGGCTCCAAAGGAAGGAAATATACTGGATGGTAAGAGGATATAAATGAAGATTTTTCTAGAAAATAGTTTCTAGAAAGTAAAAATATCACTTATTAATTCAAGGAGACACTATTTCTCTTACAGCTTAATAAATGAGAAATCTTGCAGAGTTTTTGACATTTTTTTCCTGTCTCCATGAAGGTAGGGAAAGAGGAACGTGCCAATGATGTCCTTCTAATTTGGGAAGGGAGAAAGTTTTGCCAACCCTTGACTTTTACAAAACAAACTGGGCAATAGCAGAATTATTATCAGGGAAACTTATAATCAACCTTGATCTACAAGAAACGTTTCTGAAATCCAAACATCTCCCATGACTTTGACATACAAATAGCTATTCCAAGTATAGATGAATTTATCATAAATAGAATGAAATAACAATATTTGTAAATATACACACATCTTCATTTGAATAATGAGCACATGATATTCATTGTCTACTAGGTATTGAAGAAATGAAGCTGGAGAATATGGAATAAATTTGAAATCAATTTTAAAAGAAATCAAATGGAAAAAAAAACATTGAGTGTTTGTGATTCTGTGAGAATCTTGCATAAGCAGAATGCTGACACCGTAGCACTTGGGCCAGAGTCCAAGGTTTATAGAAACTATTCCACTGCCCAGGTCCAGTGGTGATGATGAGATATAAGTTCCCTCATGTTCACAGAGAAAAGATACTAGAGTGTTTTTGGGTGTTCTTGCATAGCATGAGACTTGAAATAGTAAAAGATTTTTTGTTATCAGAGTTAACTTCTAGTTTGGTTTATTATGAAAGCTCAATCATATTTTCCCCTAGATAACTTCAAAAGGTAATGGATTTTGTGAACCAACACATTGGTAATAACTTCTAAGTTCCTTTTGGTTATTATCCTTACTCCTCCAGGGATGAACTCTCTCTTGCTTCGGTGAGTAGTTTTCCCCCAAGGGAATCAAATACAGTGTAACAATTTTATTTGTGCATTTGTAATTTGGACCTTGTTTTGGGGGATTTTCCTCAAGGACCTCTACATGATTTGTAAAATTAGAACTCACACCAGTCTTTCAGAAGATGTGAGCAAATGCATACTCTTATATGTGTGTTGTTTGGTTTTGAACTGAACACTCTTCTACTGTTTACAATGGAACTTTGAGCTACTTGAGGGCTTCAGCTGTTATCACTGTATTCTCCATCTTCTACAGAGCAGTGGACAGGTCTGTCCACATCTTCTAACTGAAGGTATCTATCTGTGCTGATCACCTAAGGGCTATGTCAGAGCAGGAGTAGGATTTATATTGAGTATTGTGACAGTATGTAATATTTTTTAGTTTGTGTGTTGTACATCCAGTGAGTGCTACAGAACCCTGGACTCCACATATCCTTATACCATAGTCTGGCAAACAACCCCAATACAGTAATTTATTTTGAATTGAATATCTTTGTTTTGATGATAAGGCAAAAAATTTTCTATGAAAAAACAATTTCTTTCAATATGGTTTTCCAAGTAATTCCTTACAGGTAGATTTGCTTTGTTCAACCCTTACTAGGTATTGTTGATTTTTCCTCAAACCTATAATTTTTTTCTATCTCTGCTGCCACCAAATATGTTATAATTACCTAGTACTTGTACCTCACACATTTATGTCTAGGACTAAATATAATGAATAGAGAAAGATGATAGCATTAGTGATGTACAGGACTTGTCAGAAATATGACAAAATATGCTAATTAAAATCTTTGGAATAAAATCTGTGTTAGGAATCATACACACAGGATGATGTCATCTGTTTTTTGCCACAAAGACAAAAAAACCTTCTTTGACAAATTGAAGATGTGACAAGAGTCATGAATTTACTGGTGTTGTGAGGACTTTAATAATATGATTTGATTTAGGTTCAGGAATACCTAATGTGCTATATGAGAAGATGTATTTTATTCACAATTCATGAGTATTCTCTTAGAAAATGAGAAAAGAAAATGTTAAGTAAAAAATAATTTTCTTAAATGAAGTAGAACTTGGAGTGACCATTGTGATATTTTTATGACTTGTTCAAAAGATATTTATTTGTTTTCTAGGTAGACAATATCCCTTGCCAGCACTAGCCCATTAGTGTATTCAATCTGAGTTAAAAAGAATATACTTAATCTCAAACCAGTTTTTTTTTTCCAGTACCAGGGATCGAACTCAGGACCTTGCACATGCGAGGCAGGTGGTAGCATTATGGAGTGAAATCCCAGGTTTTCCTTATGAAAGAGTCACAATGACTTCTCATTCTTTTACATTTGCACCTTCCTTTTCATGTCCAGAAAAAAAAGAGAAGAGAAAGAGTATGAACAAGGATAATCACAGCAGTGCATCTGAATTCATCCTCTTGGGGCTCCCTATCAGGAAGGAGGAGCAAGGCATGTACTATGCCCTGTTCCTGGTCCTGTACCTGACCACAGTGCTGGGGAACCTGCTCATCATCCTGCTCATCAAGCTGGACTCCCGCCTCCACACCCCCATGTACTTCTTTCTCAGCCACTTGGCTCTCACTGACATCTCTTTCTCATCAGTCACAGCTCCAAAGATGCTCATGAACATGCTGACTCATAGTCAATCCATCTCATATGCTGGGTGTGTTTCTCAGGTATTCTTTTTCATATTGTTTGCAGATATTGACAGCTTCCTTCTCACCTCAATGGCTTATGACAGGTATGTGGCCATATGTCACCCCCTGCACTACAATATCATCATGAGTCAGAGACTCTGCTCCCTGCTACTAATTGTGTCCTGGGTGTTATCCGTTGCTAATGCCCTTTTGCACACTATCCTATTATCTTTTCTCTCTTTTTTTGGAGCCAACACTCTCCACCACTTTTTCTGTGACCTCTCTGTCTTACTTAAGCTGTCCAGTTCAAACACCACTATCAATGACATGGTCGTTCTCATTGTGGGAACCATGGTCATAACCCTACCTTTCCTGTGCATTCTGGTGTCTTACAGCCGCATTGGGGCCACTATTCTTAGAGCTTCCTCAATCAAGGGAATCTGCAAAGCTTTGTCCACATGTGGTTCTCACCTCTGTGTAGTTTCCCTCTACTATGGAGGAATTACTGGGGTTTACTATTTCCCCTCATCTGATGACAGTAATGTCAAGGATATCATTGTGGCTGTGTTGTACACTCTGGTCACACCCATGGTAAATCCCTTTATCTATAGTCTCAGGAATCGAGACATGAAAGGAGCTCTTAAGAGTCTACTCAGTAGAGGCATATTTTCATCATGATGGCTCTTTTCCCCTGATTTACTGGATATGAGACTTTGTCAATAACATGCATACATTCTTTCTTCTCTGAATTGCTTTTTCTTACTGATCTTTGATATGACACAATCTTTTTAGCCCTGGATGTAGCTTTTGATTCTGCTTGCTTTTTTTTTTAACCTTGTCTCGTGGAAATATTTTTATACACATTCCTGTATATTTTCTTTTTAACATATTGTCTTTGTCCTACAAATACGTTAAAATTCTCTAGCTACCACTCTTAGACTTTATTTATTGAATAGTTTTCTGTCTTCATTTTAGCAAATCTTTTTTCCCTTTCAATACATTAAAAAGAATTCTGTGCCATAGTTGTGATTTCATTTTTATTTTTGTAGTGCACTTCAAATTTATTTTGGTTAGTAACTTTAGTGGGAATTTTGGTCTGGCTTTAAAAAGTTTTTTCTTTTCTAATTACCTTATAAAATTGGTACATATTTATTGGGTTCCTCATGATGTTTCCACACAAATATACAGTGCATAATGTTCAGGTGGAGCACAGTACTTCTATTTCCTCAAACATTTATCACTTATTTGTGTGAAAAGATTCGGGAACATTTCCTTTTAGAAATATCACTATGTGCAGTCAATAAAGCACCAGAATTTATTTTTCCTAATGCTGACTTATTGACCCATTGACCAACATTTCCCCACCCTTTCTTTCTTCCTTTCCCCAGTGGCTTTATATTTTCCATCCATTTTTCAAAAATATTTCCATTGTGTTAGCTAGGCACACAACTTTTTAAAAAATGTTCTTGAAGTGACTAGATTTGTTTCATAAAATGTTATGAGATGTCTTTCTGGAAAAGAGAGGTCCAGAGATTCACATCCTAAACTGTGAACAGGAACTTGACTGGAGCCCTTTAGGTCTTAGAAAGTTGAGTACCAGGCATAACAGTGAGTGTGGAGATTTTTCACGGCCATCCAGGTGGTACCAAGATAAGGATGATCAGTCTGTTCTGATAATGGCATTGAGTTTCTCTGGGTGTGGTTTGAGTAATGGCCCTGGGATGAGATGTCAGGAAGTACAGTTGTAGCAGGATTTCAGCAGAGTTAGTGCAGCTATATTTATTTGGAAATCAAAAAAGGATACTCTCCTGATACACTACCTAAATGTGATATGCTATGTTTCTATCCAGAATAGTACAGTGTTTTTCTTTGGTGTTTGAGAAATTGCTTGTGTTCAAGGAATGGTACTTAACTTTATTCCTATGAGCTGATTACTGTAACAGGTATTTTCATATTCATTATTTCATTAACTGTAGTATCTGTTATAAAGAAGGAATTTATATTTAAGAGATATTTAGTAACTAGTCAAGTGTTATTAAGCTAGTAATATTTAGTGCAAGTGAAATTCAATATTTAGTGTATGTGAGATCAAGGCCTGAGCCTTGTAAGCCACTTGAACATTTTTCAAATTCAGAAATATTTTTATTTATTTTATTGGACATTTAGCTTTATTGTTTTCAAAATATTGAAACAATATGCCAATAAAGTAATGTATATAACATATAAGCACTTTAATTATATATGCATTTAGACATTGTGCTTTATCTTTAAATGTTCATATATTCATTTTTGTGGTTTAAGACCATATTTAAAATTACAATATGTGAAATAGGAAGAAAAGAGCTAAAAGTGTAGGGGAAGTGGGAAGGGTAGGGGAAAGGAAATAAGGCAAAAGAAAAAATGAGAAAATAAAAAATGGAAATAAAGTGTCTGTAAATAGGGAAGGTTGGAGGGGGTGAAGGCAAGGCAGGGGTTTGGGGAAAAAATGAGAACCAAGACCTGTCATGTAAAGGTACGAGATCCCAATGATGACTGTAACTGTACTGTATACCTAAAATGTACCAATAAACTCAAGGAGGAAAAAGTAAATAAAATAAAATTACACTATAAAAAAAGAATAGTCATTTAAAATGCCGTCACCCTAAATAATGGAACCCTGACGACATTACTAAAACTGCTTCAGTACTTCCACAATTTATATCTTTCTTCTGAAAATTACCCGAGGTCGTGACTATTTTTAATGTGCCTCTGCTTTTCTTGGATCTGTAACACTGCTACATTGATCCATTAATCTTGCCTATTCCAGAACTTCAAATAAATGAAATAAAACTATTTACTGTGCTAGATTTTATTCTGGGTGAGTACAATTGTCCTTGTGAAATTCATCTATATATTATTATATTCTACTGTGAAAATATATCATATTTGTCTGACATTTTAGACATGGTTTTTCTTTTCTTCTGTCTTTTCTTTCTTTCATCTTCTTTCTGTTTTCTTGTTTTCTTTTTCCCATTCTTTCCCTCCCTCTCTCCCCTCCCCCTCCTCCTCCTCCCACCTTCTTTTTTTTCTTATTCTTCCTACTCCTCCTCCTTCTTCTCCTCCTCCTGCTTCTTTCCCTCTCTCTCTCCCTCTTAGTATTTTGCTCTCATGAGTAATGTTACCACAAACATTCTACTACAAGTACATCCACTGTGTATATGGAAGAGACTCTACAAACTATATACCCAGAATTACTGAGGTTTAGGGCATTGTATATCCACTAAATTATCACTGCTGAATTTTTCTGCAGCATGGTTATACTAAAAAGCCAGCTTGAAAGAGCTGCATACAATATGATTCTGTCTACAACATAGCCTACAAAATGTAAAACAATAGTAATGAGATCAGTGGTTGTTAAGGGTTTGTATAGGTGAAGGGAAGGGATAGACAGGCAGAGCAAACCGACTTTTAGGGCAGAAAATCATTTTGTAGGATGCTGTAACTATAGTTGTCCATCACTTTCATCACTATGCATTTGTAAAATAAAAAACACACGGAGAAAAAAAGAAAGTGCAACTGTAAAGCAGAGAGTGCCTCCTCATGTAAACTACGGACTGTAGTTCAGGAAAATGTACTGATACTGGTTTAATTGTACCAAAATGTATTAAATTAGAGTACATGTTTTAAATGTACTGGAAATGGTAATTTTTTTCAGTTTTGGGTTTAAAACTACTGATAGAATTTTCTGTGGAAGATATTAACTAGTGCATTTTATTTTTAGATGAATTAAGACAGAGCACTGTTTGTAGTATTTGTTATTTATCATTATAAAGTTGCACCAGTAAGAGTCAGATGGAGGAATAGATATCAAGGGATAAAGAGGGAGTGGTGAAAAGGTTATTGGAGTTGGAGAAGAGCCAAAGATCATTAAATATATCAGTTAGAGGACTTGGAGAGAACTTGGAGGCATACTGGGAAAGGACTTAGAAATACACATATGCAGTTATTCTGTACTTGGAGATTCTGTAACAAGACCATGAAAGCCTGAATGTAAGGAATTCTAAAGTGTTTTTTTTTAATAGTGGCCAAAAAGATCTAACTGTAGAATGGTATTGTAATTTAGGGTGCCACTAAGAAGCCGCAGTTCTTGATTCAGGATCTGTGTCACATAGCAAAATGAGACTTTGTACTGAAAGTTTGAGGGTTAAATTTGGTCCAATTTTTAAGAATTCATCCAAAGGGTGAATTGGAAAGAATAGGGAAATTGAAATCCATCTTTGGGTCCTACCGGAAAGGCAGCATCCACCCAAAACTTGTCCCTTAAGTGTGATGGGTCTCAAAACTCGCGAGGCAAGCTCTAATCTAGATCATCCTCAGAGAAAGACAGTCTCAGCCACAGTGAAACCTGATTTCCCTTTGGAGCTATTGTTGATGCACAACACCACTATGTCCTACAGATCAGCTCAGGCTAGAACCAAAAGTTAAAAATATTTGTGAACTGATCCTATGCCCTGAATGCCAAACGGTGAAGGGGAGACACACTATCCTAGAGTGATGGAAAATTGGTCACTCTTGATTCTTCTGGATCAGAAAGCTTAGCTGAGAGAGTACAAGGCCAGAGACCAGCAAGAGTTAAGTGGGCATTCTCACGGTATACACAAATTCCCTGTGATGGGCTTCCACCACCGATTGTGTGTGTTTTGAGAATCAGGCACTTCCCAAAGCAAGTTAAAATGGCTCTTTATCCTTACAGATTAGAGTAGGCCATCTTCCTTTTCCTGCTGTCTTTGAGTACCACTTGACATTAGCTCTGGCCAGGGCCTATCAGATGCAAATGGGAAGTAAAGTTTTCCAAAAGGGACCAAAAGGAACTCTCCATTTCAAACCCTGATGGTCCAAGCTGGCCACAGTCATAGCCCAGAGGCCTTCAGATCCCACCAGGAAGTTGTCCCGAACATGGTCCTCAGGTGCCTATTATTCAATCTGTTGACCACACACAAGCACCAGAGTAGAGAAAGGTCAAAGAGGCAAGAAGAGAGCTTTTCCCATACAGGCCCCCAGATGCTACATGAGATAGCATAGTAATGTGGGCAGTAAAAAGAATTTCCCAGCAGTCAAGGGATCTAGGAAATACAAGCATTTATTCTCTCCAGGGTACACTGGTAAGTGGGACAGCAGGCAAGTTTAAAAAAAGGAGTGATACCATCAGTGTTAGAGATTAAGGATTTTATAAGGGTTTGAGAATGTTTAAGAAGCAAATGTAATTATCTAAAGAATGACTGTTCTTGAGTCAGCGCCTTGCAGATCTTTCAGGGAGTATCTTTTTATTTTTTCCTCTTTGAGTTTATTGGTACATTTTAGGTATACAGTACAGTTACATTCATTATTGGGATCTTGTACCTTTACATGACAGGTCTTGGTTCTCATTTTTTTCCCTTGTCCCTGACCTCCCAGGAAATATCTTCATTGTGTGTAAAAGAATGTTTACAAATTTTATTGGTCTTGTACCTTTACATGACAGGTCTTGGTTCTCATTTTTTTCCCTTGTCCCTGACCTCCCAGGAAATATCTTCATTGTGTGTAAAAGAATGTTTACAGCTATGATTTGGGGAGACCATAAAGAAGGATAAAGGATGTACCTTGAGATCAAACTCAAGTGAAATAAATAGGACACACATGTAAGTGTCACATTATCTCTGTGGTGTAAGAAACTGGCAGTGTAAATAAGGACCAAAATGTGTAATAAATATTGTAAAATAGGGAGAAATTGTCCAAAAGTAAAGAGGAACTAGGGGAAAAATGAGAAAAGAAGGATAATATGGAAAAAAAGCTTTGTAAATAAGGAAGGGAAGAGTGGTTGAAGGGAGGGAAGGGGAATGGGGAATAAAAAAGGAAACAAGGTGCATCATGTAAAGGTATAAATTTCCTATGACAAATGTGATCATTGCGTATATCTCAATTGTATCAATAAAATTAATTTTTAAAAAGAGATTGGATTCATGGATTTTATTTTTACCATTATGCATGAGAGAAAGAGAGGCATGCAATAATAGCCTTCTGATTTGGGGATAAAGTTTATTAACCCTTGACTTCAATGATAAGGGCAGGTCAATTACAGCTTTATCAGGGCCACAGATGATCAATCATGATCTACAGGACTCAGAAACCATTCCTAAAGTTTAACCATTTTACAGAATTTCTTCACTCAAATAGCAGTTCTAAGTACATGTTGATTTTTAAAACAATCATAGCCAAATTAAAATTATTTATTAATATTTACACATATTTACCTTTAATGATGAGTAAATAATACTCATTTTTCTATTAGGCAACTATGAAATACCAACGCCATAGCCTTTGGGCAAGAGACTGATATGTTTAGCAACATAATCTCCAGAGTCAAATGATGATGATGAAATACAATTTCCTTCACTCTTTTGGTCAGAGCATGATGGTCTTAGAGTGTTACTGGTGTTTTTGAAGTAGCATTACGTCCAAAAACAAGAGCGCAGTTATCATATTTAAGTTCCAGCTTCATTTGTGATGTAACTTGAAACATGATTTCCCCAAGGTAAACCAAGCAGGTAAGAAGCTCTGTGAATCAACAGATTCCTAAGAAATACCTTGTGATTATTCATTATTCCTCCAAGGATCAACTATCTGACATCTGCCTCAATGTACTGTTCTTTCTCAAGGGAGCCAAAAGCAACAAAGCAGTTATACTTGGATTGCCTCTAATTTGGAGCCGAGGATGAAGCACTGTCCTTTGGGTCCTTTCTGTGGCTTATAAAATTAAAATGCATACCTACTTCAGGTGCTGTGAACGAAGTATACATATATCTATCTCGCTTTTTCTTGAACTGGTAACTCTTCTGCCTGTTTCAATGAAACTTTGAGCCCCTCAGAGAACCCGCCTGTTTTGCTGTATTTGGTGTCTTCTAGAGAGAAATGAAAGAACCTTTGCATACCTTTTGGCTGAAGGTATCTGTGCTCAGTAGCTAAGGTGCCATGTCAGAGAAGGAGCAAAATTTACATTCATTAATATGATTGGGTGTGTTTTGACGTGTGTGTCCAGTATGTGCTACTGATTCTTAGTTTCTACCCTCATCACAGTATGACAGACAGTTGCATGTATACTAATTTATTGTTTTACTTTATTATTATTATTATTATTTTGTACCGGTATTGAATTTGGGTCCTTGCGCTTACAAGGTAGGAGGCAGAACCTCTAAACGAAATCCCCAGCCCTATACTAATTTATTTTGAATTGATTATGCATCCAATTTTCAGATGAAAGGTCAAAAGCAAATTTCTATGTAAAATAATGTATCTCAGATTGATCATTATCTAATTTGGAGGAGGATAGTGAAAATATATATTTCTCCTCACTTATGTTTAATAACATAAGTTATTATGAGGGTTATTAGATTTTCTTCCAAATTTACAATTTTATGACACATTATCTGTAATTCTTTATATCTCTTCAGCCACAATCCAGGTGGGAATAACTTTTATTTTGTACCTACATTACTTCAATAACTTTCCATCCAGATTCCTACTGATATGCTTACTCGATCTATCCCTCATAGACAGTAAAATATAAAAACATTTTAATTATGTTTGGGGGGCATGCTATTTCTCTGACAATAGAGTGAAAACTTTCTATGACAGCAGAAAAAGCCTTTTGTACCTCGATTCCATGATAACTCTGTAATCTATACTCTTCTCAGGCTGAGCTTGGTCTTGAATTATCTTTTGTCATATGCCATAGTCTCTTCTCTCTAAACACTTAAGAAAAATGCCCATTTTTATAATCTTCATGTGGCAGTTTCTTATATTAGGGTTTCATATATAAAAGTTTGATTTTATTTCTCTATGTTTTAGCAAGGTCTAATATTTACTAAAGGCAGGAAAAGAAGCATGTCTGTAGAGTGAGAGTTGTCCTCTGAGACAGAACACAGTGGCCACCAGGTTAATGGCCGATGTCTTCTGTATCGACACTTAAAATTTGTTTTTAAAGAAAGTCTTCATCACGTTAGTGTCTTATAACTGGACCATCTATTAAAGTTATGAAATACATTCTATCTAATTCAATTTCTAAGGCTTTATCCTACAGGGAAATATAGTAATTTGAAAATGATGCATGAACAGTGTTTTGAATTGCAATGTTGTTGGAAATACGAAATGATTAGATAGAAGAAGCTACATTGTTCTAAATAGCATTTTCATTGTGATAAACTAATATAGAAATGAGTAAAACATATGAAAGAATAATCCACATTAGGCATCAATATAAATAACATTTACAAGAATTTTAACATAGTGGGTTGAATAATATAGAAACTTATTTTCAATCAACTTGGGCTAATTGATGTATTAATGTAAATTTCCTAAAACTCACAAAATCAGTGATGAATGAATTAGCAAGTTTACCTCCTTAGCTCTTAAAAAATACAAAGACCTTAAGATTTAATGGGTCTTTATATAGAACATGGGTTCTATTTTAAGAAGATGTTTCTTTATGCACTCTTTAGTTATTATTTGGGATTGCTTACTTAGCTAAGTAACCTGAAGGAGAAAGAGGCAGGCATGATTACCAAAGCTTAAGAAATGTTGAAAAAATGACAAGGAAAATATAACAAGAATTTTTGGCAAAAATTAGAAAGAGAGAAGTTATTGCTAATGCTATACAGAGATTTACAAAATCTTTCATTGGCAGATGTTGGATGTGAATGACACAATAAAATATTCCCTGGTATTCTGAGCAATTGAATAAGAATTATTTGGTTTCATCTCAGTAAATACACAGAGACAGAATTTGGAGTAGATACAGACTATTTTCCCACATTCCATGAAAATCCCTTTAGAAAGACTGATGATGGAAGAAGGCAAATGTGGAGCAGGTAGAATCTTCTCAAAGTATGAATAGGTGGATTATTTCTCAGTATGTTCCTAGGTATTCTAAGTCATACATTCATATCTTTAATACCCTTCTCTCAATCTGCTGCTAATGTCATTTCCATCAAATTTCTAGCTCTTTTTGTCTGGGAGATCAGTGGATTCTCTTTCTTAACCTAATGCATAAAAATAAAGCATCAATTAAAGTGTGTTCAGGGGAATAAGGGAAAAGAAAATAACGTGAGAAAATGAAAAAATGGAATTAAAGTGTTTGTAAATGGGGAGGGGAGGAGGGGTGAAGGGAGGGTAGAGACAAGGGGAAAAATGAGAACCAAGATCTGTCATGTAATAGGTACAAGATCCCAGTAATGAATGTAACTGTACTGTATACCTAGAATGTACCAATAAACTCAATAAAAAATAAAGTGTGTTCCAGTGGTATGAGAGAAGATAAAAGAGATTATAAAGTGATTAGAGGTGCTGTACTAGTTATTAATTCGTTACTGAATTGCCCTTGAAACTAATTCTCTAATGTCAGGTTTCCATCATAGTCTTATAGACTTCTCAAGGTTTGAACCTAATCTGATCTGATATGAGGATCGTTCAGGTGTTTCATTGTTTCTCCAAAAGTTTTAGTTGGTTTCTAGGCATACAAATGATGATCTTTGTCCAGAATATTACCAGTCCATTCATGTGGTAAAAATTGAGATGGATGTGCTAGGTTCATATAGACTAGCATATATAGACTAGTTCAAAATCATGTTTCTAGTATTTAATAGTCAAAATGAATTCTCATTCTTTCTCATGTCCATCCCTTTTTTCATTTCCAGCAAAAGAGTAGAAGAAAAGCATGACAGGAGACAACCAGACTAGTGCATCTGAATTCATCCTCTTGGGGCTCCCTATCAGGAAGGAGGAGCAAGGCATGTACTATGCCCAGTTCCTGGTCCTGTACCTGACCACAGTGCTGGGGAACCTGCTCATCATCCTGCTCATCAGGCTGGACTCCCGCCTCCACACACCCATGTACTTCTTCCTCAGCCACTTGGCTCTCACTGACATCTCTTTCTCATCAGTCACAGCTCCAAAGATGCTCATGAATATGCTGATGCATAGTCAACCCATCTCTTATGCTGGGTGCATTTCTCAGGTTTTTTTTTTTTTATTGTTTGCAGGTCTTGACAACCTTCTTCTCACCTCAATGGCTTATGACAGGTATGTGGCCATCTGTCACCCCTTACACTACACCACCATCATGAGCCAGAGACTCTGCTTTTATCTAGTATCTGTGCCCTGGGTTTTATCCTCTGCTAATGCTCTTGTACACACTCTCCTCCTGACCCATCTCTCCTTCTCTAGAAATAACAGCCTCCACCACTTCTTTTGTGATCTTACCACCTTACTTAAAGTATCTAGTTCAGACACCACTGTCAATGAGCTGGTCATTCTCACTGTAGGACTAGTGTACACTATCGTGCCATTCATGTGCATTCTGGTGTCCTACGGCCACATCGGGGCCACCATCCTGAGAGCTTCCTCAATCAAGGGAATCTGCAAAGCCTTGTCCACCTGTGGCTCACACTTGTCTGTGGTTTCTCTGTACTATGGAACAATTATTGGGCTCTACTTTTTCCCTTCATCTAATAACACTAATGACAAGGATGTCATTGTAGCTGTGTTGTACACTGTGGTCACACCCATGCTGAATCCCTTTATTTACAGTCTAAGGAATCAGGATATAAAAGGAGCTCTTGGAAATATCCTTAGTAGAGGAAGATTTTCAGTGTAAGACATGTGATCCCTACTAACTGGATATGAGACCTTCTCAAATCTGCCCATTCATCCTCTCGTCTTTGAACTGATGCTTCTACCTGAGTCTGGTGCAGCAATTTATTTCCTGTCTTTTCACTTTGGATGTAGTTTTCATCTGTCTTGTTGATTTTGAAAGTCTCAGGAAAAGTTTTTAGATCATACCTGTATATTTTTTTGTTTGCCAAAGTATTCTTGTCTCAGAAATATTTAAAGTTTTTAATACAATCCCATTTGTTAAATCTATTTTTAAAAATTGGGTGGTCCATGGTCTTTTACAGAAAAGCTTATTTTTTCTTTTCTCAAGATAAAATATTTCTCGTGTGATTTTATTCTCATGTTTTATTTTGTAATGCACTTGAAATTTATTTTTTGAGCAATTGTAACTTGAAGTCTAGAGTTTGCTTTTGTTTGTAAATATTTAAATTTATTGACTTTTTAATTTTAAAAATTGACACTTTATAAAATGTATACGTTTAAGGATATCATATGATATTTCTATACATATATATTGTACAATATTCAAATTGAAAGCAAGCATAACTATTTTATTAAATAGCTACCAACAGGTGTAAGAACACTGCAATCTTTTCTTATACCTTTTTTGAAATACATAGTACATTGTCATTATCTATCATTTTCTCATTATCCAATAAGTTAGCAGAATTTACTCATTTTTTAAAAACTAATTTACAATCTGTTGACCTACTTCTCTATAATTCCATATTCAATGTTTATTTTTTGTTGTTTTCTTAGAGTGATGGCAACTTGGCACACAATCTTTTGTTTTCTCCAAGTGCCTTGGCCTGGCTGTCAGCTGCAGTGAGGTGACTTTCTGTCAAAGCAGGACAATGGGTCATGTAGAACAGGTTCATATCTAAAGCATCAGTGGAAACTTAATTAGAACTTTCTGTGTCTAGAAAGTTAAGGAACATGAAGTGTAGCAGTGAGAGTGAAAATATTTAAAAGGTCTTCCAGGTGGTGCGTGATTATGGATAATCAGTTCACTTTGATAAGTGAATTATTCCTCTCTGGATGTGGTCAAGGATGTCAGGGGTAAAAACGACCTGAATTGAATTCAAGCAGGATGTCAACATAGCTTAATTCACCTATGATTTATTGGAAAATTAAAAGAATAATTCTCTTACAAGAAGACACACACACACACACACACGCACGCACACACACATATCTTCTTGTTTCCATCAGAAAAGTCCAAGTTTTGTTTTTAGTCCTTGAGAAAATCTCTTCATTGATTAAGCTGATTACTATGTCAGATATTCCTTTCTTTATTTTTTCATTAAACTGTACTATTTGGTGTAAAGGTAGAGACTAAAATTTAAGAGTGATTTACTAATTTGACATATAACATTAAACTAGCAATATTAAGTGGATGTGGGAGTCAAAGTACTGTGGGTGTAATATCAAATCCTGAGATCAGTAAACTACTTGAATATTTTTAAAAAACTGAACTATATTTTTACCCACCTTATTGACAATTTTTCTTTAGTCTTTAAAAAAGAACAACAAAATAACTGTACAAAATAGCATATGTGTAATTTGCATATATAACATATTGTACTATGCCTATAATATACGTGTTTTACATATATAAAATATGATCACATTCAAATGAAATTATTAAAGGAAATATGCATTTAACAATCTCCAGGACTGAATAATTGCACTTTCCATGCCTCCTTAATTGCAATAACTTTTCTTTTGAAGGTGTCCAGCCTTTTCTTGACTATTTTCAGTTGTTCCTCTTCTTCATTAGACATTTTACACTTTTGTATCGATTGTTTAATTTTTACATGTTCAAGAACTGCCTATAAGTGAATTATATTTATTCAGTTTAGTTTTGCTTTTGTTGTCTACTATTTTCCTTATCCAATTTATGTATATATTCTACTGTGAATTTCTAAGACAATTATATTTATTTTTATGGCTATTTTTTCAGAGTTTTGCTACTACAAACAATGACGCTATGAACATTCTTGTGTAAGAGTCCAATGTGCACATTCAAAATATTCTATAAGTTGTATGCCAAAAGAATTATTACATCGCAGTGCATGTGTATTCATGTTAATTATCACTGCTAAACTCTTCTCCAAAATAGTTATACCAAGAAGTTACTCTGAAAAGTATAAATACAGTATGATTTCCTCGGTATGACATCCTAGAAATGCAAAACTACAGAAATACTTCTAAAAATCAGTGGTTGTGATATATTTTTGTGGAGGGAGGGGGATGAATATGTGGTGTCAAGGGATTCGTAGGGCACAAAACTTTTTTTGTGCAACACTATTACTGTGGATGCATGTCACTGTGCATTTGTTAAAACCAAAGAAAAAATAGCAAAAAACAAAGAATCCACAACTTATGGCACAAAACTTGAGCCCTAATAAAAACTATGGACTTCAGTTGATAATAATATATCAATATTGGTTCAATTGTTACAAAAATCCCACATCAATATGAGATATTAGCAGGGGAAATGGTGTCCAGGGAAAAGTAGTACATGGGCATTTCGTGGTCAACTTTTCTGTAAACTTAAACTTACTCTAAAAAACAGTCTATATCAATTTTTAAAAACTCTTTCTGCAGTACTAGGGAATGCTATACCACCAGGTTTTGCTAAATTTCCCACGCTGCCCTTAAATTTGTGATCCTCCTGCCTCAGCCTCCTGAGTAGCTGAGATTACAAGTGTGTGCTTCTGTACCCAGTTAAATATTTAAACATTATATTAATTTACATATCTATCTACAGAGTATGAGATTTGTAGTAATCTTAAGCAATATTTGTTCTTGACAGCAGACTTTTAAATTTTTAAAAGTATAATGAGTGGCATATTATGTCTCATTATGCTTTCAATATTTCTTTTATTACTAATGAAGTAAAGCATCCCAGACAATGACTGTTTACTGGCTACATGTGACAGAAGTGGTGGTTAATCACCTAAACCTCTTGATTTGTGAAGTTACAGGAGGCAGCTGCTGACTTTCTACTAACCTTGGCAGACTTGTGACAAGTTGTACCAGTGGAACAGAACATATGTTATTTCCTGTCCAGGGTATTACAGAAGCTGTGGATTCCATCTGTTGGGTGGAAACAGATTACCTGCTGCTTTCAGATATAACTGAGCCTGGTCCCTAAATTAACATTTAGTTAAAAGCCATCTATGTCCTGAAAGAGCCACACTGAACTGTTGGACAGGCGTGATAATTCTTATTGCTAAATAATTGTTTTGTGTGAAGTATGTGATAATAGCTTTTCCCTCCTTTTCTACTGCTTTCTTTTATTTATTTTCTTTTTATTCTTGCATTGTAGACAGTCTTCATATAATCGAGAAATTAATCCTTTGTCCATTTTTATGTTGAAAATGTTTTCTACTGCTTATGGATACTCTTTTTTTTCTTTTATTGACTTTATTGGTACATTTTAGGTATACACTACAGTTACATTCATTATTAGGATCTTGTGCCTTTACATGACAGGTGGTCTTGGTTCTCATTTTTCCCCTTGTCCTTGCCCTCCCTTCACCCCCGAGAAATTAATCCTTTGTCCATTTTTATGTTGAAAATGTTTTCTACTGCTTATGGATACTCTTTTTTTTCTTTTATTGACTTTATTGGTACATTTTAGGTATACACTACAGTTACATTCATTATTAGGATCTTGTGCCTTTACATGACAGGTGGTCTTGGTTCTCATTTTTCCCCTTGTCCTTGCCCTCCCTTCACCCCCTCCTCCCCTCCCCATTTACAAATACTTTACTTCCATCTTTTCATTTTCTCATATTTTTTCCCTTATTACCTTTCCCCTACCCTTACCATTTTCCCTACACCTTTAGCCCTTTTCTTACCATTTCACAATGTCAGTTATCTCATTAGGAGCTTATGTACTATTACAGTTTATTCACACCAGATAAACTATTCGGTATTTACACATGTGACTTATTTATTTTACTTAGGAGTATATTCTCAATATGTATCTACTTTCCTATGAATGAGTCTAATTTATCATTCTTTATGGTTGAGTAGTATTCCATTTTATAGAAAAACCACATCTTCTTTATCCAATCTCCAACTGATGGGCAAATGGGCTGTTTCCAAGTTTTAGCTATTACAAACTGTGCCGCTATAAACATGGGTGTGCATGTATCACTCTGGTATGATTCTTTTAATTCTTTTGGAAAGATATCCAGCAGAGTGATGGTTGGGTCAAATGGAACCTCAAGTCCCAGTTCTTTGAGGTATCTCCATATTGATTTCCATGGTGGTTGCACCAGTCTGCATGGAGATATCCATCCCTGGTAGTAACTTTTCTGATGCTGGCTAGTAAATTATGAGCTTTATATGATGGTTTAAATATATATTTTAAAAGGTATATATATATATTTTTTTCTCTATATAGGTATTAGATATATATTTATATATGCATCTATATATATCTCTCTCTTCTCTTCACCAAATACTTTCTTGTCTGTGTACCTAAAGATAATATGCTGTTTTTTATGCAAAAATTTAAACTTTGCTTTCAGTGATTAAATCTTAGTATGTGAGAAGACACCTAAAGCTAAACAATTTATACACTATGTCTCAGCATTTTGGTGTTGGGTATAAAACTATGAAAACTGAGTGCTTGTGCTAAAACATGTCATGGATGAGAATATTCTTAAAAGCTATATTATAGATAAATATAATCTGAAAAAACTGAGCACAAACAAATGTAATAAACCCTTTACTAGCCTGCCTAAGTCATTATGAGTTTGGTTTGTTCATTATCACAGCATGTTGTAGTCTATTCTTTTCTTTTTTATAACAATACTTATTCAAGTATAGAATAAAAGAAAACAATATTTTTGACTAGAAATTCATACTTTTTTCTTGCAGTACAGGGTATTAAACCAGGAGTGTCATGTATGTTAAGTAAGTGCTCTACCTCTGAGCTATATCCTCAGATCTAAAAGCATTATT